GTACATTTGCAGGACCACACACAACTTTCGAGATGTGAGCGCTTTGGAGGCGGAACTGCACAGCTGCCGCATTGGCCGAGATTGTGATTTACGATATTGGTGTGGCTTCTGCGAGAAGATCGTGGAGAAAAGCCGTACTGCAACGCAATCTCTGACAAAGCGGTTCGACCACATTGACAACCACTTTTGCGGCCGAAACACGGCCAAGAGGAGCATATCGGAGTGGAAACACCTGGAAAACAAGGTCTCGGCAGCTGGCTCTACTCCGAGCTCTAGCAACATGGAGACACCGAAGTCTTCACCTAGTCATCAAGCTACTGCCCGGATATTTCCATCGAATAGTGGCCGTCTCGCGTCTAATTCTACCCTGCCTGGCAAAAGGAAGTTAGACGACGACGACAGCGAGTGCCCAGAGTCAAGACGACCAAGGGGACAATTGGCGACGATGTGGACTTGCGTAGGTTAACATCCAACCCCTTCAATGCGAATATCTATTAATTACATCTAGTGCGATTGCGCCATGCAGTCCAGTTTCAGGTTCAACCGGGCTTGCGTGTGGTGTCCGCATTCTCGATGTGACAACTGCCCAGTAGAGACGTAGAGCAACCGGCGAAAATTCCAATTATGGCTGGGTGATTCAGAAAATCAACCATAAGCACTGCAGAAAATCACCAGGGACTTGATGCCGAATGTAGTGATTTGAAAGCATCGTGATATATTTCGCGTTGTTTGAGTATGACGATTAGAGACGGCAGCCTCTAAATATCTCTTGGCTCACGACCAGCTTTTTGGTAGCTGCACTTGTATGTGATCACTTGGTGACTCGCTCAGACGTTCCTTGTTCGCGTGGCCCAACGGCAACATAGGGAGCAGTCAGGTGCTCAGCCGCGTCCAGTTTCAGCTTTGCAAAGAATTTGGGAGGCGCTTGGTGCTTTGGTGATCTGGATTTGTACCTTACTTTGCAATTTTTGGCATCTCCAAGATCTGGTGATTCAGTGGAGTGTTGGGGGCGTAAGGGCACGCTCTGGGTCGCGGATGAATGAGCAGATGCTCATGAGCGGCACAGGCCCAGGTTTTCGGAGATGCACGACTATCCATGTGGACGGGTATTGGGGGCCATAAGATAGACAGGGGGCAGCAGGAGAAAGAGCGCTGTGGCATATACCAAATAAGCAGAGGAAACGGGACTTATCGCGGCGCAAGGTGCTCACGGCTGCAGATGGTGACGATGGCAGGCATCTCGGAGTGGGCTAAATGGTGCCATCGACCGGGGAAAACAGGCCTCCCGAGCAGCCACCTAGGGCGATCTTGCCCGAGTCGACGACCTTGACCTGGGCATGGGAGGGCAGAAGCCTCAATCTCCTGCTTGTTCTGGGGGCAGTTGCTGCCCCCCTCTGGCTCTCTCCCGCTGTGCCCCGTTCCTTTCCTCTGCCCGAGCGTCTGCTTAGTACTAATACGAAAGGGCAGACACTGTCGCGCAAAGTGCCATCCGTGACCCTCCTGTTCCGTCTATCGACAAACTATAACACTCCTCTTGATACCCTCATCCCTCTTCGTCATCGGCAATCCACCTGATTCTCTCCGCCGAGCCTGGTTGTTGCTGTCCCACTCGCATCATAGCACGGGATAGCTGCCGCCTATCTCTACCACAAAGCACCCCCAAATATCTGGTTCTCTCGACACTCTGCAGCCTCTTCCTCGCTGTGTTACTTTTCACGCAGCCCCTGTTTCTGTGCTCTCCCGTTGTTGAACGACCCAGACAACATGACATACCACACATTCCGTCTTGATAGGCGACTCACGCAGGGCCCCTTCTACCCCGAACACCAGGACTACGGTCAGAATCAGGCCTCTCCTACCGAGGATGCCCTGAACTTTGATATGACACCACCAATCGATCCGAATCTTGAGCAAGGCCTGACAACTCACCTGGGGACCGTGTCATGGCCAGGTGTACACACCCATCAGCTCCAGCAAATACATGGTCGGACCGTCAACCTCTTTCTTTGCCCTCGGCCAGTTCCAGGCCAACTACGCGTATGCCCAGCATGATGTGAATCCACTTCCACCCGTCTCACAGGGCCGCCATGGCTCTCCCTTTTCCCAGCACCACTCGTCTTCTTGCGGCGACTCACTGAGTCCACCTACCGAAATCGATGTTCTGCCCTCCACGCCCCCCGACATGTCAGCGGCATCTCCATTCTCGCAGACCAGCAAATTCCAGCCGTCTTGGGATGTGCAGCAGTCGCCCCCCTCTCCATAACAGGGATCGTCCCGACGCAAG